CCTCCTGTCCCACTATCATGCTCAGTCCCCACCAGGGTTTCAGCAATTCCTCTTTGTTACATTACCCTTGATCATGCCCTGCCTTCTGTTCTCTGGCATATGGGTTCCTAGTGGCACCCTGAGACCTGGGCACCAAGGTCTAAAATGCTGCTGCCTTTTCTTGCTAGAGATCTGCTGGCCCTGCTTACCCGCGAAAACACCAGGTCCGAGAGTCACCTCTCTGCTGTATCAGAATGTATCTGTATCTTTGTTTTGTTTCTGTTTCTTGATAGATTCTTAGATTACCTCTCTGACCTCTGCGTTTCAATGAACAAATCGATTCCAGTGACCCAGGAACTGATATGTAAAGCTGTACTGAATCCAATGAACGCCGACATCCTTATTGAGACCAAGTGAGTAGAGGATGATGCCAAAGAAGTGGCTTAGTGAAAAGTGCAGGGTCTGGTGGATCCATATGTGCTTTTGAGTAATGAAAACCTGCCTCTTGTTTTCTGCAGGTGGTCTGAAGTTAGTGTTGTTGCCATTTGCTCTTCCTCTGGGAAATGACCAGTTAGAGAACAGCATGCTTTCTGTGATGTCGCGTTCCCTGCACAATGGTGCCACTTACAGGCTTGGAGGAGGGAGGAATGGGGGAAGTCTTCATAGTGCCCATTCAAGACTAGAGCAGTATGTGTGTGAACCACTCCCCAAGAAAGCAATTAAAACAGACTGTAGAAAATCCTGTAGTATTTGATTACAGCATCAAAACTTTGAGAGTTTAAGCCTCTGTTAATGTGATTATCACATTTGCATCTTAAAAGGGTTACCTCATAGTCAGTACAGGAAGTAAGCCATTGTGATGGAGAGCTTTTTCAATGACTGCTCTTCCAGAAAGTGTTTATTCCTCTACAGAAGTCTTATACTATCCTGTTTCCCCGAAAATAAGACATCCCCCCCAAAATAAGACCTACGTACAGTTTTGCCTCTCGCTGAAATATAAGGCATCCCTCCGAAATGAAAACCTTCCCGAAAATAAGATTCCCCCGAAACTAGCGTAACTCTGGACTCTGGACCGTAGTGGTGGGCATCACCATGCAGCTCACTGTTGGCCGAGCGCAGCTAGAGCAGACAGGAAGGGCGAGGTCTCTTTTAATAGAACAATAAACAATAAATGTGTACCATACTCTTCTTCATGGAAAAATAAGACATCCCTTGAAAGTAAGACCTAGCGCATCTTTGGGAGCAAAAATTACTATAAGACACTGTCTGATTTTTGGGAAAACAGGGTAGTAGTCAGTCAAGCAGTTTTTCTGAGTCAGTATAATGCCAGTAATGTGGCATTGATCAACAAAACAAAACAACCATACACTGAAGTATGCCTTAGGCTAGGGAATTTATTTCTCGTGCATAACATGATTTGGGCCGTGAGCTGATACGGACCTCCCCACCTTGGCACTAGTGACATTTTTGGCTGGAGAATTCTGTGCTTGGAGATGGGGCTCTTCAATGCATCAGCCTCTCTGACTTCTATGAGGTATGCCAAGAGTAAACGCGCCCCGCCCCCCCCCCCAGCTTTGACAGGGCATCAGGCAGTGGGGGTGGGGTGGGGGGAAGACCATAAGTGCCCATCCATGGAGAACTACCGGCCTAATACATATGTGTGCAAAGAAATAAAAGTTAGGCTTCTTGCAGCTCGTTGTGTGCAAGAAATGTGAAACAACATGGTGTTCCGTCTGTCGTTACGTTGAAAACAAAGCCGGGTGGAGGCTCCTTGCTGGTAGCTGATCCTGTGTTTCCCATCGTCCTCTTCTCCTCAGGCTGGTTCTCTCTCGATTTGAGTTTGAAGGGCCTTCTGCTGGGGAGAATGCTCTGGAGGCAGGTGAGGATGAGGAGGAGGTATGGCTGTTTTGGAAGGACAGCAACAAAGAGATCCGCAGTAAGAGTGTCCGGGAGCTGGCGCAGGATGCTAAGGAAGGGCAGAAGGAGGACCGAGATGTTCTCAGCTACTACAGGTGACCGGGAATTGCATGTCTCAATGGCTGGGATTCCTCAAAGGGTGGTGGTCAGGAATGTCCTGCTTGTGTGTCGGTTGCTCTGTGGAAGTACAGGGTCATCTGAAGAGATTTTCTAGCAAAAGGCAGTGGTGTATTTTAAGGGTTGAGAATTTTGAAGAGTCATTGATACTATCATGGATACTGAGATGGAAAATTGACATCTAACTGTTGCTAGGTAAAAGGAAAGATGAGTACTGGTATCAGCTATGGTTTTCAGTTTAGCCCCTATCAGAGAACTAGGCAATGGGGTCAGATTGCCAGAGTTCAAATCCTGACCTCGCCACTTAGGGTTGTTTGTTTGTTTTTTACTTCAGGCAAGTTAGATACTTACTTATACCTCTTTTTTATATCTGCAAAACAGTGACAGACTGTCAACCTCAGAACTTCTACAGAGAGAGAGTTAGAAAGTGTATATGTACAAATATATGTATCTGTATTTCCATAAGGGACCCCGGTAGTGCACTGGTTAAGAGCTCAGCCTAGGACCAAAAGGTTTGCAAGGACAAGAAACCTGGTGATCTGCTTCCATAAAAAGTACCGTCTAGAACCCTCTGAGGTAGAACTACCTACAGGCTCTCTGTGAGTCAGAATTAACTCAAGAACATACAGCAGCAGCAACATATTTCCACACCCCTCTCTATATCTCTCTCTTTATATCTTATACACATTTATATCTATACGAAAATGTCATATATTTACAATTCATTCTAACACCGTAAGTTTTATTCTAGTCGTTAAATCCAAACCAGACCCAAGGTTGTAGAGATTCTGTCTCACAACACCTTATTGGATGGAGGGAACTGCCCTCATAAGGTGTCCAAGGACAGACGGCCACATCTTTCTCCCTCAGAGCACCTGGTGGGTTTGAACCAACTACTGGTTAGGCACCCAGGTGTCCCTAAATTCTAGTCTTTTCCCTTGCCATATTTGTGACTCCCTTCTCTGGGCCACATGGCAGCCATGTATGCTTCCTGTTGGCTCCCCACTGTTTGTCGGTGACTCCCACCTCCTCTGTCCCCCATTCCAGGCCCACGGGCCTTTTTGCCATCAGGGAAGGTTAGGAAGAGGAAAGGAAGCAAAAGAACAAATAAGTACTTCCAGAGAAAGAAATGGGAAAATAATAAATAGGATTGCTTTTGTGACTTTTAAAATAAATATCCCTTTCCATTCATGCTTGTGGTATATATCCTTCCACGTGCTGTTCACATTCTACTGCATTTATTTGCAGTTGTGCTTTATAATATTTCTAGGAATGGTTCCTGATGCTCATAATAATGAGCACAGTTTCAAAAGAGAACCCATGTTGATAGGTATAGATGATTGATCCCATTTTAACTGCTGAGGCGTGTACCACATTTTCACTGCTGTCTGATGTTCCAGACTGAAACTTAGTTTTCATTATCAGGTATCTCTGTATTCAAATCTATGCTTATGCATGAGTTTCCATTCTGTGCCACACATAGGATTAATACATTGGAAGACATAATGCATTTTAAACTTTCCTGAGCTGCCCTCAATTGGATCTCTCGGTGTACATGCCCATGAGTTGTAGAGGGGAACTTTTATTTCCCCTTGTCTTAGCTAACTTTGAAAACTGTGATGCTGTTTTAATTCTTTCATACTTTTTGAGAGTGTAAAGTAGAAGTGTGTCCTGTGTTTCACCAATATCTGGTAAGGTTGAGAATATTTTTAAATCGTGGTTATTGGCAATATGGCTTTAAATTCAGAAGCCAAATTTGACAGTGTGGGGACTTAGCTTTTTAGCTGTTTCATGTTACCAAGTATGTTCATTTTTTAAATGCTGAATAAATCTTCTCCCAAGAGTAGATGCAGGATAAGTCCCTCAACTGGTCAAAAGTTGAGAGCACATGTAATTTTCAAGGGGGACTTAAAAAAACTCAAAAAATAGAAGACAATGGAGGGAAGTCTAAGACGTTGTGAGAAGTCCCGTTCTTTGGGGTATCATGTTCTGTAGGAGTCAAAATATAGACATACGTATATAGAGAAATCTGTGGTGATCAGCGGTGGATTAATGGGCCTTTGGGGGCATGGCAGGGGAGGCTGGGGGAAATGGGGAGAGTTAACACTGATGAGTGTAAGAGAAAGACGTTCTAAAACTGTGGTGATGATTGTGTAACTGCTTAATATATTGAATTGCATAGTTTGTGAATTATATGGCAATAAAACTTTTTAAAAGTAGACTTACATACAGTCCTAAAAAGCTGATAAAATGTCTCATTAGACCATAATCATTAACATTCCTACAAGGTCTTTAGTGCACTAGCTGAAAACACAACTGAAGAAATGGCAACCACCTTAGAGCTCCCCTTTTACCTTCCCATTTATTTCTGGTGACAACTAGCAACAAAATGAATCAAGTGACCATGTAATTGTTCCAGCACAGCTGTGGTGTGGGGAGGTGTGTGTGACTGTTAGCTGGCAGCCCACGCCCTATAGGACAGCTTGAAATATTTCTTTGTTTGGCGAGCGAGTAAGTGCACACATGTGCGCACATGCACACACGTGCCAAAGCCAATTCAGGGCATTCACATTGTGTTTAGAGGGTCAGGTGCCCCTTGTATGAAGTCGTGGCAGTGGACCAGCCAGCCCCCTGTGTGTTTCATGTAGCCTGGGTGTTTCTTGGGTGAGTGAGCCTGATGCAGCTTGTCGTTTCTCCAGATATCAGCTGAACCTCTTTGCCAGGATGTGTCTGGACCGACAGTACTTGGCCATCAATGAAATATCAGGCCAACTGGACGTGGACCTCATTCTCCGTTGCATGTCTGATGAGAATCTGCCCTATGACCTGAGGGCGTCCTTTTGCCGACTCATGCTTCATATGCACGTGGACCGAGATCCCCAGGAGCAAGTCACGCCAGTGAAATATGCCCGCCTCTGGTCGGAGATTCCCTCTGAGATTGCCATTGATGAGTGAGCTCGACTTTTCTCACTACCAAGACCTCAAGTCCCTTTGTTGTTGCGTGCTGTCAAGTTGGTACCAACTCACAGTGACCCTCTGTGACAGAACAACTGTCCCCAAGGGTTCTTGGGCTGTGATTATCGCAGAAGCAGCTCGCCAGGGCCTTTGTCTCGTGGAGCTGCTGATGGGTTCCAGCCACTCGCCTTGAAGCTCAGCAGCCGAGCACTTGATCACCGTGCCACCAGGGCTCCTCTGATATCACTTTAAAAATTCTAGTTTATCATGTTCTGTGCAGCTGTACATAAATTGTATGTGGCCTGCTAATCCCAAAGTTGGTGGTTCAACCCCACCAACGATGAAACTGCTCCCTTAAAGATGTGCAGTGTCTCGGAAACCCTAGATAGAGTTCCTGTGAGTTGGAATCCACTAGATGGCAGTGGGTTTTGTGTGTATGTTACAATGATTATATAGGGGATCAGGATATAAGGGAAACAACCATACAAAAGTAGGGAACACAAACCATAAAGCAAGAGAAATGAGTCAAATACGCATGTCCACGGAGGAGGCATGTGCGGAGGCAAGGCGAATAGAGTAGGGATAGGATGGCAGTGTTGAGGGACGGCTGATGTTGAAGATGAACACTCAGGACAGGCCTCGCTGGGAAGAGCTTGGAATGTATCGCCTCTTCTCTCTCCTTTTCTTTCAGCTATGATAGTAGCGGGACCTCCAAGGATGAAATCAAGGAGCGGTTCGCACAGACCATGGAATTTGTGGAGGAGTATTTGCGAGACGTGGTTTGCCAAAGATTTCCTTTCTCTGATAAGGAGAAAAACAAACTCACATTTGAGGTAACTCATGGTGCAGTGGTGTGTTTCACCTGGTTTCCAGTGGTCATTTTACGACAGGGTACATAAAAAATAGTTTAATACGCTGTGGTTTTTACCATGGTGCTCTGGTTCCATAGTAACCAAGAAGCCAGTTTAAATATAGTCCAGAATAAAAGGTAGAACCGGTAACAGCCACTGGGCTCTTAGGAGAAACCTGATGGGGAACTTACTCCTATAAAATGATAGCCTGTAACTTATTCTCTGAACTTTATATTCAGAGAAGCACACCTGCTTGGGTTAGTCCATCTATTAATCCTCTGAGGAACATAAATGTTCATCCCCTTTGGGTTAAACTGTTTCTCTTTCAGGCTACTCTCGCTCTTTTGGACTTAGATTTCCAAGGATTTAAGAAATGTCCTTCCTCTGCTCCTAATTATTAGGAGAGTCTTGTTATCTTGCTGGGCATCATTTGGCTAACCAAGTATTATCTGGGGAAGCTGCAGAGACTACATGATTAGGTCATTTTGTATTAACTAATCACCAAATCAGATCAGGAGCTTTGCAGGCATACACTCTTGATTTTTTTTCTTTTTTTCTTTCTTGGTATATTTTAATTTGTTCTTCGTCAGTGGATTGATGTTGTTGCTGTTTTGTTGCACATTGTTGCTTGGTCCCGCTCTGTCTTTGTTTTTATGCATGTTGTTGTCTCTGCAGGCCTGTCTGGACAGGACAGGCTGGATGAACAATCTGGTGATTCCAGATAGAACCCTCTTTGCTGCGTTTGTCGGGTCAGACGCACGTACTGGCTCGTGAGCATAGTGCTGCCCTGGAAGTCCCAGAGGGGCATGGAGCTGGAACCGACCCCTTGGTAGGGTTTGATGAGCGAATGCTCTCGCTTGAGGTGTTCACTGTTGCCATCAGTTATATCTGAAGCCACTGACCCCAGCAACGGGAGGAGGACAAGAAGTAGGGGTGTAGTGGGGCGGGGCCGGGAGGCCCAGGCCTTCCCAGGCAACGCCGGCCCCAGCCCCAGCCCCAGCCGATTTTTTTCTTTGGATGAAACAACATGAAAATGGTGAGAAATTACAAGCAAATTATGACTTTAAAAAAAATCATTTTATTGGGGTTCATACAGCTCTTATCACAATACATACATACATCCATTGTGTTGAGCACATTTGTACATTTGTTGCCATCATTTTCAAATTTACTTTTTTTTAAAAGTTTTTCTTTGTGATTGGGTGAAAGTTTACAGAGCAAATTGATTTTCCATTCCACAGTTCATACACATTTTGTTGTGTGACATTGTTTGCTGTCCCCATTTTCCATTTCTTCTCTGTGTGTGCCATGACCATTTATCTTTCTTTCTTAGCCTTCCCCTGCTTTATGAGATTTATCTTCAGACAAATGCTGCCCTTGTTGTAAGAAGTGCATAGCACCAGGGCATTATTGTGTACCTTGTAACCCTGTCTGTTGTTTGGCTGAAAGTTGAGCCGTGGGGGTGAGTTTGGTTCCACACTTAAAGACTCAAAGGCCCTTGTCTCCTGGGTTCCACTAACCAGTAAGCCTGACCTTATGATTTTGAGTTTCATAACACATTTTTCTCACATTCTACTTAGGGTCTCCTATTGTGATACATTTCAGGGATATCAGCAATGGTAGCGGGGCACCATCTAGTTCTTCTGGTCTCAAGGTTGTGGGAGCTGGGGTTCCACTGTGGTCCATCCGTTCTTTGTACTAATGGTTTACGTGTCTCTTGATTTTCTTCACTGTTCTTTGTTTTGGATGGGGAAAGAGCAATAGCTAAGCCCTAGATGGATAACCACAGTCTTTTAGGGCCCTAGTCACTATTCTTCAAAGTCGAATATAGAACATTGTCCACTATGCTGTGCCAATTGACCATGGTGACCCCTGAGACACTGTACCTGAGCCCCCAGGCCCAATGACTCATTCTTTCAAGGTGTTTAGATATGTCTAGGAAGCTTTCATAACTCTTCCCCCTGTAACCTGCACCACATTCATGGATCTATTTGCAGCACATAAAAATACATATGTAGAAATATCTTCCATCAGACCTATATGTGCTAACAGTTGTAGACTCATTTGCTTTTTGGCTCCTGTCCCCCTTGCATGTCTGTCTATGTACCTACTCATAGCTTATTATGACTGTTGTTACAGGATTGTGTGTGCTTTAGTATTTACCTTTCTTTAACTGTTCTGCATCTCCCTTTGCCAACATCTTTTGTGCTTAACTCTCCCTTTATTATATATAAGGTCACTTAAAAAAAGCAAACATTTTGTGACTTGGTCAAAAAAGGTCACTTACAAACACCAAGTGGAAGTAAAGGATATTGTTTAATATCAATTTTTTCCCTCCCTTTAATGCACTAGGTTGTAAATTTAGCTAGGAATCTGATATACTTTGGCTTCTACAACTTCTCTGACCTTCTACGATTAACCAAGATCCTCCTGGCCATATTAGACTGTGTGCATGTGACGACCATCTTCCCCATCAGCAAGATGGCCAAAGGGGAGGAAAATAAAGGTAAGATGGACCGGGAGACACAGAAGGTGATGCTGTGATGGGCTCTGTCCTTCGAGAGATGCCCCCTGCCTCGCCTCTGCCTCCTTCTCTTCCATGCTTCACCACGTGATGGCGTGTTCTTCCCGTGTTCTGGTCCCAGATTTTCATAATGAACATTTCCAAAGCTAAAATAGAGTAGCTCAGTGAATACCCAGACCCCTACAACTTAGGTTCGATGTTTACAATCATTTGTCTGTATTTCCTTTCCTTCTTGAAGTTTGTTTGTAGAATTATGTTTCGGTGTGTTTGGTATGTGTTTATGTTTTCGCCAAAGCATTCGAAAGTTACCCGCCTGTTACTTGACTGTTTATCTCTTGTACATGGTTCCTGGATCATTGTTCTTGCTGTGTTTGAGGCTCTTGATATTAGTGTATAAAACAAAGCTCAGGCTCAGAGCTGAGAGCTGAGGTCACATTGACATTCCCAATACCTTGTACGTAGGAAAGCCTGTCATTATGTGTTTATTCTCCCCTCTGTTTTAGGGTCAAAATAGGCAGGTCATGCGTTCCTCGTGTGTTGGTTGGTGTCTGACTCATCTTCTGCAGCTAGGACAGGAAAACTATGAACATTCCTCATGATTCTCAATAGTTTTCTTCTGTCAAGTTACCACAAACACTGAATTATCAAATGCTGGACCATGTTCCTAGAGGAAATTCAGGGTTAGGTTCCTGTGAGTCTCTGGTCACAATATTTTTCCCAACTAACCGATGGATATTTTTATGTGCATTTCTCCTCAAAGATGCCTTATTTAATCTACATTGTTGCCTTGTTAACATTGAACTCATGGCTGAAAGCACTGTGGCTCATGCCTGAACAAAGCCTATTCAGTACATGTATTTTAATTTGTAAGGCACATGATAACCTTCTTGCACTTAGGAGCACTAGATAGCACTTCAACATACACTTCTGGGCATTTCAAACAGCGAAATCACCAACAAAACCCATGAAAATACAAGATGGGCGGCAGGTACTAAAGGCATCAAAAAAAGTACATTTGTTGTAGTGTGAGAGTGGGTTCTTCAAGTGTCTTGAAATCCCAGGCATTCTGTGCATTTCTGCAAATGGCCACGAAGGTGCTGCGAATATTGATTTGGGGACTGCAAATACATTTTAGTGTTTGGTAACTTCACAGATATGCAATCTGTAAATAGGGAGGTTTGAGTGTTTCTATAACTGCTGTTACTTGCTAGGTCCCATGCTAAGTCATTTGAACCATGCTGTTGAGCTTCTTAACTCTCATTTACAAATGAGAAACTGAGCTTTAAAGATAATATCAAAAACCCAGGTCAAGCAGCTGTGTGTTGGTAGCAGCACCAGGATTTGTGTCTTGATAATTCTTGGATTCTCTAGTTTTAGGCACTGCAATAAGCATGTAGTAGATGAGCAATAAAATTTATATGCAAAATGTTAATATGCAAAAATGCCCCTTGGGGTGTGTATTATTAGTCGGGTACTTTAGAGAGAGAAAAAAAAACACAGAAACTCATGTATAAGAGAGAGTTTTATATAAAGGTTAAGTAAGCATCAAGAAAACACCCCAACCCAGTGCTGCCCAAGCCCACAAGTCCAACATTAACCCATATGTCCAACACCAATCAACAAAGACCTCCGCCATCTCACAAAACAGACACAACAATGCCGAATGCAGGAGGAAAGCCGAGTCAGTGAACGTGTAAGCACCTCAGCGCTGTCAGGGGTCTCCACATGGCTGCTCCAGCACCCAGGGCTGCATCGGGGCAGGTCCATGTGGCTTCTCCTTGGGGATGTCTTGTAGGAAGTCAGTCTTGCAAGCTGAAGCTGAAACTGCTAAGGCAGCTGTGCCCTGGTGCAACCATCACAAAACAGGAGACCGGAGAATTAGAAAGGTGAAGCTCACCAAGCCATTTATCCCTCCGCTCTTCAATTAATCCCACATGTGTTTATCGGCCAGGGAGTTCAGATTCTACATTCTTTCCTTTCTTCTTTGAAGCCCAGAATATTTGTGAATATCTACCATCTCAGATCCCTAAAGTTTTGAGTGTATATCTGAGCAGGGGTTTGTTAAATGACTTAAGAGCACCCACATCCCCTGCCAGGGAGCACTCTCTGGTGTGGTGACCATAGTCTGTCCCTGACCCTCCCTAGGCAGCAATGTGATGAGGTCCATCCATGGGGTTGGAGAGCTGATGACCCAGGTGGTACTCCGGGGAGGAGGCTTTCTGCCCATGACTCCCATGGCTGCTGCTCCAGAAGGCAACGTGAAGCAAGCAGAGCCAGAGAAGGAGGACATCATGGTCATGGACACCAAGCTGAAGATCATTGAGATACTCCAGGTACCCAGCAGCCTGAGGTGGCAAGGGTGCTCCACAGAGGGTCCCTGCTGGTCTAACCTCTCTGCTCCCATGTATCACCAAGGTCCTTGGGAATAAAATAGTGTTGACATTCCTAGGTCAACCCTTTTATGAACTGGCGCCCCTTAATCCCTCTGCTGCCATCTCCTGCCGCTCGCCAACATGACTCCATCCTTCCAGACTGGCAGTTACTGTGGCTATGCTGTAGAGGTCTGGTCTGGCAGAGGTGTGGCCCTGGCAATGGATGAAATTGCCAAGAGGAGGGTGTGCAGGGAAGGGAGAATTCCAAGGAGAGCCTTGGCCAGTGCCAGCTGGATGATCTTTCTTTCTGGCCCCAATACTAGCCATGGGATGAGTTTCCATCTTGGAAATGAAGGAAGAGGGAGCCCAAGGGTTAGTAGATAAATTCAAGAAGTCCACAGGAATAGAAATAGGAACCAAGCTCATTCTCAGCAGTGAAAACATGTTTATGTTAAGTCTCCTGAATTAAATGCAGTCATCTTCACTTTTCTCAGTGGGATGCCCAGTGGGCACTCAGTTCTTACTGAAATAAAGTCCTTTTTTTACAGGGAAGCGGCGGGGCGGGAAGAGAAGAGTTTGTGATGAGTGACTTGTTAAATTAAATTAATTGTTAAATTAATTGCCCAGATGCTGAGGTTTGCTTAAGAAGCTAAGGTGCTATGGGTAGGCTTAATAAGCCCATGGACATCTTAATAGGCCCATGGACAACAAAGTCACTATTGAAATCAAGCCAAACCTTTGGCTCCTTTAGTGCTTAAGGTCATTGAGATAGCCCATATCGGGCCCAGCCAGAGTGCAGCAGCTTGGCAAAAAGTGCTAAAGATGGTGTTAATGTAACCAGTCTGTTTCCATTTCCATTTGAATCCTTAGTTTATTTTGAATGTGAGGTTGGATTATAGGATCTCCTGCCTCCTGTGTATATTTAAGCGGGAGTTTGATGAAAGCAATTCCCAGACCTCGGAAACTTCCTCTGGAAGCAGCAGTCAAGAGGGGCCAAGCAGTGTACCAGGTCAGTAATTCCAGAATTGGTGTTTCAGCTCCAGGAGGAAGGGGCCTGAATCGAATGAAAACTAGAAATGCAAATCCAAACACTGTCCTTCAGAAATGTGCTTCTACAAACGCAGGATGGCGTGTGATGGTTGTATTTTAAAACAAAATGTTGGTAGTTGTCCTTTGGGGATAGGAGAATAGTAGAAAGAGGACAGGTCTTCTTTGGTTGCATCTCATTTCTTTCTATCTTAGAGTGACTTAGTCACAAAACGATTGAGGCAACGAGTGGTGTGGTTATTGATGAACTGCCCAAACTAGCAAACAAACAACAAAGAACCTTTTGGCCCATTGAGAACATCTGCCTGTGATAGAAGTTTCTATCCAGAGTGGTGACGGTTGGGGTCAGGATGGTGGTAGAAATCATCACAACTGTCAGGCTCTTGTCTTCTTGGATTAAAATCATTCAAGTTTTGCAAGCAGCCACACAGTAAACCGGAAAATAGTGGGAGTGTGGGGCACTGCAAACCAGAGCCACTGAGCATACAATCTGGTTGACCTGGCTCCATAACTTTGCACTACAGGCGGTTTTCAAAGAGTGCATGGACAAGTTCCAGCAGTTCCATCTTCGGCAAACTTTAGGGGCGCTCCCTCGTCTGTAATTCTGGAAGATTTGGGCTTAAGCCATGGGCAGGGCAGGATACCACTGTTTGGAGTAACTTCATCAGCAGCATGTTTTCAGACCTTCCTGCATCTGAAATTGTGTTCTTTAACTTTTCAGGTGCTCTTGACTTTGAACACATTGAAGAGCAAGCAGAAGGCATTTTTGGAGGGAGGAAAGTATATTTCCATTGACTATTCTCTAGTTGGCTCTAGGATTAAGAAGACTGTCTATTATTTCTGTGCACCAGGAGCAATTTAATCTTTGAGCGAAGTCTTTTGCTATAGTGTTGTCTTTGGAACTCTCGAATATTCAAGTCAGTGCCATCTGCTTGGCCTGATTTGTGTGTTTGTCTTCCTGACACAGGATTTAATGAGGTTTCCCAACAAATTACAAGGGTTTAAATAATGATGAGGAAATAGGGGCGAGACAAAAAAATGTGGGGGCGAGGCTCAAAACAGAGTGAAGTTAATAAGATCTTGTTCTCTGCTGGTAAGAGGTCACATTTTTATCCCTGAACTCTCTAGAAGCCCTTTGTACAAACACAGTCTGTACTTTCCTTGTTCTTAACATTACAGCAATGTATGAACCCCTTTTTAAAAAGATCACATTGCTCAGTGTTGACCTAAAATATCCTTGTTATGAGACTTAAATACCTACAAGTATGAAACTATAGCATAAACACTCTTTTTTTTAAAAAAAAATCATTTTATTAGGGGCTCATATAACTTATCACAATCCATACATACATCAATTGTGTAAAGCACATTTGTACATTCATTGTCCTCATC